GGTTTACTACTCGGTTCAATACTTTGTGACTTGTGCGAGGGTGAGATTTGAACGCGTGAAGAAGCTTGTGAGAGAGTTTCATACATAAAACCTACGATCATAAAACAAGGATTCAATCAAGAAAACAACAAACGGGTACCCACCGGTGTTGGGAATCTTTCGAAAACTTCTGTAAGTATTGTATGAATCGTGAATCTCTTCAAACCTAGCAAAACTAAGTCCGTCTATTCAGAATCGCAGCACAAATCTCAGCGGATTGTGTTTTTATCTAGAACAGCTTCTATTAGGGCCTCACTTCAGTCGAGTTCATCTACACCATGGCCGGTTCTTGTCGGTACGGCAGTCAAATGGGTTACCTCAAGAGACGATTCGTTTTCGATGATGGAATAATTGTGAAAAATGCCCGACGCTTGTCTTTGGTGATAAGTTCGGAAGGCTACACCAACAATTTCATCAATATTAAGCAAATGGATCCCAACTATACGACGGGGATGGTGGAACACCTACGCTAAGCTGTAATTCGTACGAAAAGAACTACGAAAGAACTATGAGTATCGAGCTTGATCATTCAGTGTTGGAAAAGTTCACCAAAACTCAGTACGACTCGCGATTTCTTTGATGAACTTCGTGAAATATCGCAAACTTTCCCAATGCTGCTCACATTCTCGCCCACATGGGTAAATAACCCATTTTTGAACTTAGCATTTTTCACAAAGCGTACAACGAAGGATCAGAGCAGGATCTTCTGCGAGAGTTGAGGTACATTAACAATTTTACTATGCAGAATGGACAATAAAGAAGAAAACAAGCTTATCATAGGGGGTGGCCAGATTTGAATCCCGACCTTGTCGAGTATCTTCGGGACGGAATTTTTCACATTTTCTTCTGTGTTTTTCCTCGGATATTCTTGTCAGTCATTAGTCTCAATGGGCATGCACTGGGATGGCATGACCACAGGACTTTATAGGGATGACCCAAGGGGTTGGTCAATACATACAGTGTGCCAAAAACAAGCTTGGGCACACCTGGGCAGAGTCATTGGCACTGTTTGGCACCCATGGTTACAATTTTTCTAATCTTTAAGGTTACTGGCAACACTGAACTTTTTCTGCGCCTGCACAATATAATCATTTTTTTTTTTAAACACAACCGTGAATCTCCACCAAGTCTCGTCGTCAATTTTGCTCTCTCCTTCTAAGGACATGAACTTCATCTTATATTGGTTCATCGTATTCGTATTTGAGACAATCGCCCGTCATCGAAATGGGCGCCACACCACCGGACGCTGCTGCCACGGCGGAGACTGTCATGGTTGCCATGTGCCAGTACCAGGTGCCAGTGCCATGCCCATGTTTTCGGTGTTCTCGTTGCTCCAAGCACCGTTCATCGTCTTGGACGAGGAGAAGCACAGCTTCATAATGAACGGGAATTTTGTGCCTTTGTGATCGATCGCGCTGTGGTTGCACTTCATGATGGCATTCACCGCCAGGGCTACGCTCGGGAACTCAACCAATCCGGGAGGAGGAACGTTCCAATTTCAGCGGGAGCATTCGCACTTGCGACGGGTGGCAGTCCTTGGTGGTGAATGCAGTCAGCAGCAGATCCTCGGACATACCGGGTGGGGAATTGAAGAAGTGGAGAATCTTGCTCGGGAGGGTAAGCGATTGTTCTTGGAGGCGCTGTAGTCCTTGAAGCTGATCGAATTGTCCAGCAGGTTGTAGGGGTTGATGGACTCTAACAAGTAGTTCTGCTTGGAAAATGCAATCCGAATTTTGCTACCATCATTTCCGATTGGAATTTTGTTCAAGTGCTGGATGCTTTTTGGTCTCCAGGAACTTTATCCTGACAACATTTTCGTACAGGCAGAACAGATTGAACAGCTTATCGATGATGACTGTGTTGTTATCGAGTCCGTGAACCATCATCACTGCGCCCTGTTGCTGTGCCGGTTGAAAGAAGTTGGCTGGTCCGTTTCGGGTCAGCGGTGCTTCCTTCATCAGTCCAACGTGTGTTCCGGCCGTTGTTGGTTTCCATTTTTCCGACGGATCAAACTCAGGCGGTGAAAAATTCGGTGTCTCCATGAGAGCTAGTTTAGGACCATGGTTGACTAATGATTGAAGGTCGTTGTACGGGGTGGGCTTTCTGCCGAAAATGGTAGGATCGTGTAACAACGGGGCTCGTCCGTTGGAGACATCCTTGGAAACAGCTGCTTCCAATGTGTAGTCCCAACTGGATTCCGTGTCGTTTTTGTAAACATTGAGTTTTTCTGGCTTGGCAAAGTCGATCTTCAGTGTGCAGAAATTAGAGTAGATGTCACAGTCGTTCAATGCATCACGGGCTCTGGTGGCGGATTCAATGCTGTCAAACTTAACCATAGTTTGGACTTCATTATTCTTGAATTTTTTGATACGTTGCACTTGTCCGTTGAGTGAGCAGCTGGTGTGTAGAACATCAACTGTAATAGGATAGACTGGATTAATGATGGTGAACAGCATGATATGGTTGGGCCAGGTTGCTACCTCGCGCTTTTGCCGAGGCTCATCTGTTACGTTGATGTTGTTGTTGTTCCGACTATTGAACGGAACCGTCTCGATCATCTTCTGGGCGGTACAGAGGCGCACCGGCACCGTTTCCGTTGAACGCCATGATCGAAATTGAGCTTTGTTTACTAACACACACGGGCAAGCAAAGAGGAGTGAAGGGTTGAGAAAATTCACTTATCACTCGGGACAGCCTACGATAATAACCGCTGTTGAAAAACCTGGAACTTTTTCTCACTCAACGTAGACTCATACTAGGTGAAACTCCACCCGCAAGGTCCGTATCTCGGAACGGAAATGTCCTTCCGACTCTCAGGTCATCCCAGGTTTCGAAAAACAAAACAAAAACAAGCGCTGTTAAAATACCGGGTTGCCAAACAAGGCATTATTCACAACCAAACAAAAGTCAGTTCAATGACTTCTCGGCACTGCTGGAACAGCTGCGGCACACTGAAGCACACTGAGAAAAAAAGTTGGCGCAAAATAAGTGTGTAGACCTCCTTTTGGGATGACCGTAGAATGCTATAAGCTCTTGAATCAAGAATCGCCCACGTCTGTCTTCTGTGTGGAGCTGAGTGGATTGGGCGGAATCTGCTCGCGTTCTATAAATACCTACAGGCGCCGGATAAATGCCGGACAGATGCTTCGAACATAACAGCAGGGGGAGATGTTTGACAGTTTTCATCGGTGGTACATTGCGGAAGGTACCTCAACTGCATCAGATCGTAGATTGGTAGGCTTGGTGGTGTGTAATTAGGAGGTGGTAGAAGGCATCATAATCAGCAATACGATATGCTTGAGTTATATCTTTAAGGACACGCACTTCTTAATCAATCAGATGATTTAAAACTGGTTCGACGATGTTGCTCCTAGCGTGGGATTGCGCTCGTTCCAGTTCTGGGTTTACTTTAGCCGAGCCAGAATCTTGTGGAATTTGCTTGAACATTGGTTTGATGGTTTCCAATTCCTCTTCCACCTCTTGACCCGCTAACGCTCCAATGAGAATGAAGCTGAATGCTTGCCATCCATCCATCAAAGAAATTGAGAATGTAAACACAATCACAAAAGTCATAACATTGAGGGTTGCCAAACTCATGGAATATTAACGCCTTGATAGGCACACTTTGATTGACCGTGACAGGCACGTTCGGCACCGTGCTTGGCACAGCTTTCGGTACAACTCAATTACTTGGTACAAATTAATGTGTGCAGAGTTGAATACCCCTAGGGTCCTCCTCATTGTTCTTCATCGGCAGTTCTTTCGGTCGATGCGTCGTCGACATTGGAAAGCAACCGTTTCATTATGAGTGTGTGAGTGATGACCACGTTTTGCGTCCATTGCTGCAATGGAAGCGCTCTGCCCTCCGTTGGCGATACTGCCATACAATGAAGCTACGGGAAGCGGCTCGCGTTCTGATGGAAGAGAATTATTGGATAGCGGAAGATAATGTGATTGTGTTGTACCTTTTGACTATAGTTTTAAGATGTATTGTATAGTGAACAAGAATCCTCGGTTCTGTAAAGTTAATTCGAACAAATATGCAAAGTTGCATGGAACGCTGAGAGGTAAAATCAAAAATTTGTATATTTTTTCGCTATTTGGCCTGTAACTGCTCTGCAGAGGTTGACCGCCATGTCACACAGACAAGCGAGTATAAATATACAACAGACAATAAAAACACGGTTTTTTTTTTCTTAAATTAAACGAATTGTTCATTGCAAAACATACAAAATGATTTAACCAAAAAAATACCACACACATTTTACTAAAGCGATTCCAGGCGAATTGGTTTTCATATTTTTTTATTCTGCTGAAATTTTCAGAAATTTATGACCAAAAATGCCGTTTTGCATCTTCAGATCACCATTTTAAATCGAGACTTGATTTTGAAAAGGCCATATAGAAAAAAGTTAAACTTATCTACAGAAAACTGTTACTCAAAAAATGTTTATTAAATCGGTTTGGTACTTTTGGCAATGTTGTAGGAAACAGCTAGAACTATTTAAAAACAAAGCGCCCTTTAAAAAATCATATTTTTTTTTAATTTAAAATAAAAACATAAAAATAGATTTTCTCACAATCAGATTTTTTTTATTTTTTTTTTCTAGAAATTGAAACTGCTAGGAACATTTGTTTGCATATTTTTCCCCAGAAAAAAAAAAATAATTATATTTCTCTACAATTTTGTGTCCGACGTCATTTCGATCAAAAGTGCTGTTTCCGAGCTGTAATTTAATGAAAATTTCAAAAAGGCGTTTTGGAAATTTTACAAGATCCAAAATGGCCGAATTAGAGCAAACATGTGAATCATTGCCCATAACAAACAATTATGCAAAGTTTCATGCAAATCTGAGAAGGTCAAGTTTTTCCGATTCGTCATTTGGCGTCCATAGAAGACAACTCCAAGTTCCATGGAAATTGGAGAGGGTCAAGTCTGAAATTCGTTTTTTGCTATTTAGCCTGGATTTGCTCAGAAGCGTTGATTAACATGATTGGTGCCTTGAATAGTGCGGCAAAGGGTCGAGTCGAGTCCCAAACCCAAACCTTCCGGGACGGAAATTTCTACTAAAAACATCGGAAATCGCGCAATACTCCATGGAAAAACAACGACAATTCCACGTTAATTGAATTCACCTAATCACATGCCACGCATCACCTTAACAACTTACAAGACTATCTACTCAAAACACTTTACTTATGCTTATGCAAACCGTATTTTCTGGCTTCTCTCGTAAAACGATTCGGCAATTACCGATCGCCAATGATCAAAGTAGCGAGGGGCACGCAAACAAGCCTGGCCTTGAAAACTGTTGCCCGCCACAGCCAAGTAGGCATTTGTAAAATTGAAGTTTATAAAAGCATTCCGTCAAACGGAAATCCTCTTCAGTCAGCGGAAAATTTTCCTCACATCGAGTCACCCGGCAGATCAACCACGAGATAAAATGAAACTGCTTCTGAACGCCGTCCTGATGATCAGCTTGGCTTTGATGGTACGTGTTTCGTTTCAATCCAATTGTACATACTAATCAACAAGTTTTTTTTTTCTTCTGATCGAAAAAGGTCACCCCGCAAACCATACAGGAACTGGTCCGGGAGTGCAAGAAAACCGTCCCCATCAGCGCGGAGCAGGAGAAATCCTTCCTGGAGCTCAAATTCCCCCCGGAGGAGAAAACCACTCACTGTCTGATGCGCTGCATCGGCTCAACGCTGCAGGTGTTCAACGACGAGACGGGCATCGACTTGCCCGTTATCAAAACGATGCTCAAGGGCGTGCAGGAATCTTCCGACGGTGAGTTTACCGAGGACCAGGTCAAGTGCGTCGAGGCAGCCGAGACGAAGGGCGAGGCGAAAGAGGAGGACGAATGCATGATGGCTTTTAGGGCGTATCAGTGCTTCGAGCAGGAATTTCTGGCACTGATGAAGAAGGACCTGGAGCAAGGTCAATGAATCGATTGTGTTTTGTTTTGTAAATACGTGAGGGATGGACAGTAAATAAAAATTGTAAAAGAAATCGAAATGTTGAATTATGCACCGATAACACACCGTGAGTTAATGTCGGCAATTCGGTATAAAAGAACGAATCGGTGGGTGGCAGTCAGACACTGTTCAAGTTGATCGCCATGGCTTCACTCCGATTGATTGTAGTATTTGGCATTGCGATGGTAAGTTCCCAAAATTTACCCACAAAAGCGAGTAGCTCAAAGATTGATTCAATCTCATAGGTCCTGACCATCGCCACCGCTGAAGAGAAATACACCGTCGAAAGGCACACGGATGTGAAGAACACCTGTGCCAAGCTCCTCCGGACTCCGACCGAAGATCTGGAGCACTATCTTGCTTCCGAATATCCGGAAAAGCATGACACATTCTGCTTCGTCCGATGCCTGTACATCATCTACGGAATCTACGACGACGAACATGGAGTCGACTTGGGAAAGGCCTTCGAGATGTTCGGCAAGGGATTGAGCCTGGACGAGTTTACCGAACAGTCCAAGGTTTGCTTCGACCATAAGGAAGGTGAAGAGGAGGTCAGCTGCCACTGCAAGAAGGCAGCCCTGCCCCTTTTGTGCCTGCGGAACTGGTATTTGGAAAATAACAGGGTCTAATAAATCAGGGAGAAAACAAAATTGTTTTATTTTAGCAAACTACTTTGAGCCGTAGCCTCCTTCCGCTTCTTGTACTGTTTCTTCAAACACATGAGCGGCTTGTACGCCTTCATACAATGGCAGCTAACTTCGTCCAGCTTTTCCAAGCAAACCTTCGATTCCTCCTGGTACTCTTCCCGAGTGACGAAACCTTTGCCGAATGCTTCGTACAGTGAGTCCAAGTTGACCCCCGTTTCATCGTCGTACGATCCGCTCAGTATGCCGACGCAACGCATGAAACACGCCGTTTCGTGATCTTCCGGATATTCCGACCGCAGGTAGCGTTCCACGTTTTCCTGGCTTGAGCGGACAATCTTGCTGCAAGCTCGCTTGTTTTCCACGTATTTCTGCTTGGAGGAGTCGTCCGCTGCTGCCATCTAGGAACGAATTTCAGCACAAATGGTTTACTTGGATCGAATCCAGCCAAAGAAGGTTACAACTCACCAACAGGAAGGCCGCTACTACTACGATCCAGCGGAGTGATGCCATGGTGATGATCTTTTGAAATGAAGTGGAGATTACGACTGACTCGATCGAATGCGCTGTCCCTATTTAAGTGAGACTGCAATTACGTAACACTGGTTTTAACCTACGATCTTGCAGCATCTGATCATGCAGTCCTCTTATCAGGTTATTCCTATGGTAGAGGGTTGCAATGCGTGTAGAGTACGCTACATTCGTTTAAATTCCCGATTGCAGTACAGGCCAATCTCGTTGGTTGGACTGTTTGCAATTTGGATTCGGTTGAACCCAGAGGACTTTGGAGCGAAAACAAACTGGGTTTGGGAATACGTCTAAAACCTCTAAGGGGGACGCCCAGGGCTAGAAGAGAATCGTAACAGAGGACTTTCCGAAAATCTCAATGGAACCCTAAGGTCCAGGGATTTAAAGTGAAAAATCCTGAGGACTTCAGGTAAATAGACAGCGATAGTTCCGCAAGAGTGCAGAAGTAACAGAAGTAACAGAAGTCGAAATTGAGCGAAGGGCCATTAATGCGACAGTACTACTCAAATGCGCACTCCTTTACCTAACTCACACATTAATGGACGAGGGGACTTGAAGTTTTTCTTAAAATTTTTTGAGTGTTTACAGAAGTCCCGGCAAGATAAGGTTCCGGCAGGAAGCTTCGCAGTAGTTCTATGAATTTAGTAAAAGATCAGGGAACGTTGTAGAACTTCAAAGAATTTCGCAGATCTTCAGGAAACTTTGCAGAACATCAGGGAACTTTGTAAAAGTTCAGGAAACTTTCCAGCAAATTTTGTAGAAGTGCGCCGAACTTCAGTGAACATCGTAGAAGTGCAAAACATTTTGTATTAGTTCAGCGCATTTTGTAGGTGCTCCGTGAACTTTGTCCAACTTTGTTGAGCTTTGTAGAAATTTTACGAACTTGAGGTTTGGAGTTCAGGGATTTTTCTTTAACTTCAGGGAACTTCGTAAAACTAACTAGCTCAGGAAACATCATAGAAATTCCGAAGAAGAAAAAAATATAGGAACTTAATAGAGCTTCAGAAAAATTCTTGTCCAGCGATTGGAGCAGTTTGGTAAGCATTTCAACATCGCGATGTTTGCAATAATCCTCGTAGAACTGATCCGAACGCAGCTTTTCGAACTCTATGAGGTACGAATGGATTATGGAATCCGAACTGCACAAAAGGTCGTAGTAAGGGGATCGGTGTCCATACAAAGGCCACCATCTGGTCGTAGTAGTTTCATCAGTGGTCGTTTACCATGTTTGATTCCGTAACACTTCACCACTTCGTTGATCAGCCACCCGACATTCAGTTCCATGATTCGTTCCTCATCGTAACTGACATCGATGAATTCGCCTTCGATGATCACTCGGCTTTTACAGGTACGCTAGAGGCTTCATACTTCACTCCATTTGTCCGATCGTTGGACTGTCTGACCTTCACCAGGGAAGTATGATTCCGGTTGAAACTCCCACTAGAACGCTGGCGACGCCTCTTTGACTGAGTCGATGGCTTTCGGGAGAAACTCCTCCAGGAAGCGTTCATCACAATCTGAAGAGCATCTGGACCAGTTTCCTCTGATGATGCACGCTCACTTCGTCTACTTACACTGATAGGCAAAATAAAGTGCCCACCCCATCATTTTTGAAATTTCTCTCATTTATTTGGTTCAAATTCAAATAAACACACCGTAGTCTGTTTCGATGTCTTACCTTTATTATTCTTTTAAAGTTACACCTATGGAATACTGAAAATATAAAGTTTTACTTGAAGTAAAAGAAAATCAATTTGGATTGAAAAAGAAAACAGTGACAAAAAAAAGTGCCCACTTCAAAAATCGGTATGTTTTCGATAAGTTTCCATCGGAAAACCCCTCGATTGTTTTTGTTTTGAAAGTTTGACATGTATTGAAGCAAACGGGTGGAACTGGTGCATTTGTACACGTGATCGCATTTGAATCAGTTGAAAAAAATGGAGGACGTAGTGATTTCGAAAGCAATTCCCGTGTGTATCCGAAAATTGGTTGTTCGTGATGTGCAAAACGGTGAATCGCACCGGTCTGTCGCTAGGAAGTACAATATCAGCAAAACAGCGGTCGGGAAAATTCTGCAGAAAATGAAATCGTTCGGATCAGTGGTGGATCGCCCTGGCAGAGGCAGGATGCGCAAAACGGATGCGAGAACGGACACCAAGATCATGCGTGAAGTGAAGAAGAACCCGAAGGTAACTGTCCGCGAGATCCAGGAGGCTCTTCAGCTAACAGTTTCCAGTCGAACTGTTCGTCGCCGTCTCGTAGCACAGGGGTTGAACAGCAAAGTTGCTCGGAAGCGCCCATTTATCAGCAAGGCAAACAAAGTCAAACGGCTTAAGTTTGCTAAGGAGCATGCTGATAAGCCCCTAGAGTTCTGGAAAACGGTTCTCTGGACGGACGAATCAAAATTCGAACTGTTCAACCGGAAGCGACGGGTTCGTGTGTGGTGTAGATCGGGTGAGGAGCTTCAGGAGCGCCACATACAAGGCACGGTGAAGCATGGAGGAGGAAATGTGATGGTCTGGGGGTGCTTTTCGTGGGGTGGAGTGGGAAGCCTGGTGAAAATCGACGGGATAATGACGGCAGATTCCTACATCGACATCCTGCGGGAAAATCTGGAAGTTTCGCTGATCCAGACGGGCCTTGAGGAGAAATTCGTATTCCAGCAGGACAACGATCCGAAGCATACTGCCAAGAAGACTAAGTCTTTCTTCCGGTCATGTCGAATTAAACCACTGGAATGGCCTCCACAAAGCCCGGACCTCAACCCCATCGAGAATTTGTGGGCGATTCTCGATGCCAGGGTTGACAAAACTGGTGTTACCAATAAAAATAACTATTTTGAAGCCCTGGAGCGCGCCTGGGAAGAACTAGATCCACAGCACCTGAAGAATCTAGTGGAGAGCATGCCGAAGCGCCTGCAGCTGGTCCTGAAGGCCAAAGGAGGACACATTAACTATTAGGCTGGTATTCTTTTACTTTATTTTATGTTTTCTGGAGTTAAAATGCAGTGGGCACTTTTTTTTGTCACTGTTCTTTTTTACACCCATTTTGATTTTTTTTTCTTCGAGTCAGTCTCTTCTTTTTATCTGGTATTCTATAAGTGAAACTTAAAAAGAATATAAAGAATAAGATATAAAAAATACTACAGTGTATTTACTTTAATTTGAACCAAATAAATGAGAGAAATTCAAAAAATGATGGGGTGGGCACTTTATTTTGCCTATCAGTGTACCACCTGACCTGTGGTTCATATCAGGTCCTCATCATACTCCAATCCAGTAGAAGTTATTGTCCTGTCGAAAATTGGAAGTGTCTCCCCGAAGAACGTTCTCGCTCGAAGCTTCGAATCGGTGGCCGAAGTCGTTGCTCATTAGGTTCAGTGTAGTTCTTTTGCGAGAGAATTTGGGAGCAAAGAACCAAGAGTCACGACAGTTAGGACCTGGGATAGGATTCCACTGCTCGTTGTTTTGTTTCTTCAAAACGCCACATGAGAACCGTCAAATTAACCAGATTGCCAAACATATCATTATACAAAAAAAATCAGTCTGATAACACTCTCGGCACTGCCGGCACAGTTGCGGCACACGTGAGGGACACTGAGAAAAAGGTTGGCGCAAAATAAGTGTGTTGAGTGACTACCCCTTGGGGATAGTTAAATTACATAACTCCAAGGGAACCTCATTATTGTTCGGGGACCTTTGGAATTACGTACAAGTTCAAAGAAATTTCGTACGTGGAACTTCCCGGAAAATCATTGAGAAACGTATAAGTGCCGCAAACTTTGTAGAAGTTTTAAGAATTTCGTAGCATTTCGAGGAGCTCCGTAAAACTTCATACAAGCAAGTGCAGGGTTTTTGGAAAAGTTCAGGAAATTTTGCGGAAGATCTTCAGATCATTCCGAACAGATGCAGTACTTGCGGAATTGATAACAATCTTTTTTGGAATGATTCAATACTTTCCGAAGTGATTCCGAACTTTTTTGACGTGATTCCTAACTTTTCTGAAGTGATTTAGAACATGCAGAAGAAATTTCAAACTTGTATGAATTGACTTTGTGCTTTCCGGAGAAATTACAAAGTTTTCTGAAGTGATTCCAAGCTGTTCCGAAGTTATTCAGTTCATCCTGAAGTTATTCCAAACTCTACCTAAATGTTTCAGTTCTTTTCAAAGTGATGCAGTACTTGTGGAAGTGATTACAAACTTTGTTTAAATTATTCAATACTTTCCAAAGTGATTCCAAAATTTCTAAAATAATTCAGTACTTTCCGGAGTGATACCGAACTTTTCTGAAGAGATTCCAGAATTTCCTTAAGTGATTCATTTCTATTCGAAGTGAATCAGTACTTGCGGAAGGGTATTTCAAATTCTTCAGTAAATTTTGAAGTAATTCCGAAGTGGTTCAGTACTTTCCGAAGTGACTCTAAACATTTCTAAAGAGATTCAGTACTTTCAGAAGTGATTTTAAACTTTGCTGGATCGAATCAACACTTTCCGAAGTGAGTCAAAACTCTTCTGAAGTGAATCAGGGCTTTCCGAAATGAATGAAAACATTTCTTAAGTGATTCGGTACTTTATGAAGTTATTCCAAACTATCCTGAAGTGATTCCGTACTTTTCTGACGTGATTCAGTACTTTCCGGTGTGATCCCGAACTTTTCTGTCGTGAGTCAGTACTTTTTGAAGTGATTCAGAACTTGTAGAAGTGTTTTCAAACTTTTATGAATTGATTATGTACTTTCCGGAGTCATTACGAAGTTTTCTGAAGTGATGCAATACCTTCCGAAGTGATTCCGAACTTATCTGAATCCAAACTCTTCTTGAAAAATTCAAAATTGCCAAAGTGATACAGTATTTGCGGAAGTGATAACAAACTTTTTTGAAATGATTCAATGCTTTCTAAAGCGATTCCAAAAACTCTAAAGCAATTCAGTACTTTCTGGAATGATTCCGAACTTTTTTGAAGAGATTCCGGAATGTTCTTAAGTGATTCATTTCAATCATTTCAAAGTCTTGCGGAATTGATTTCAAACTCTTCAGTAAATTTTGAA